AAAATAAAAACTTAAAAGCACCGTAAGTAGAAGAGAACTTAAAACGTTTTCTGTACCATGTCGTTTTGGCTTCGTTCAGGGAGACAAAAGGCCTAATATTGCCAGAGAGCTGATAATATGAGGCTTAATCAGGAGTAAGGTACTGTCCATTATGAGCCGGAATCCCGGAAGATAATGTCGACTTTAATTCCCTTTTACGCCAGCTGGCTTCTTTAACAGAAGCACTGTGGGGCTCCTCTCGCAGACAGGTGGAGACTAGTGATCGCTTAAAAAGAAGAGCTACGTGGTCACCCCCCACACGCACCCACAGAGGTTACTCTTGCTCCCCTTCTTGCACAAATTAATGACCTAAAAGGTAATCTTAATTATGACATTTTCTGCGCCAAAATCGACAATTTCGACAACATAGGACAGGACATAGGGCTGTGGCTCGATCAATTTTAAAAGTTTGCGGAGTTTGATAGTGGGGATGGCGCCCGCAAGCTAAATGCGTTCCCCTTCTTTTTATTTGGGATGGCATCCACCTTTTATGCGTCTCTTCCCGCCGAAATAAGGGACAATTATGAATACATGCAGGCAAGTTTAAGAGACAGGTTCGGCGCGGAACCGCTAAAGTTCTTGGAGCGGCAGGAATTAAGTGCGCGAGTGCAAAGGACAGATGAAACACTGGAAAGTTTTATAAATGACATACAAGCGACGTGCAACCGCTTAAAGTTTTCCCCTGACGATAGGCTACAAACCTTCGTCCAAAACCTACTGTCTCAATTAAAAGATTACGTCATCCTTGGAAACCCTAAGACAGTCGAAGAAGCAGAGTGCTTGGCCCGTTTAAAGGCTAGTATCTCCCCAACCCCAGCATCGGCACAAGCGCCACCCACAGATGAATAGACTGATGAGGACATCGGAGCTGGCAAAGGGGCAACGTTGTAAGACTGTTAAGGTCATGTGCTTGTAGGTATTTTCAGGTTAGCACGTATGCCTTAAAGGTAACACAAGACAGTGTGCCAGGTATTAAATCAATCTGATCATACAACCTGTAAAATGTGCCTTTAAATAGAGTTAGAATCTAATGAAATAGAAGGGAAGGAAGGTGTCAGTGTAGAAGTCGAAGGACACATGTGGCGACCTTTGAGCATGCCGTGTCCTGGGCACTGCAGTGTAGATTTCTACAAAAAAATAAAAAGAACCAAAGAAACAACAAGAAGTGTTATCTCTCTTATGTTATCTTCCATCCACAACCGTATGGTTGTTAAGAATCCACGACCAGAACACATCTCAATCAAGGCACCAGGATCCAATCAATGGCTTTAACAAATCAACTTCAACCAAATACTTCTCTAGATAAAGTAGTCACTTATAACATTAGATAGAAAATGAATTATTCGTTACCTTACACGAAGGTAGAACAGCACTTTGGGTCAAGATATGGTAGCATTTTCACTTATTTCCTAATGTTTCAATGCGAAAAACCAATTGAAATAGCATCTTTCTAATAAAAAACGACAAAAAGCGACAAAGTGTATCGAGGCGTTAGTTGTCTAAACAATTTATCAACGCCTCCTCTTTTAACACTTTCTTCTATTTAATACATCAGCTTTAGAAAGCAAAAACTTTATTATCGTTAAATTCAGAATTACTGTACCCTTTATGATATAAGATCAGGTAATGATAAATCATAGAAATGTTTATGTTTTTGCTTTTTAAATATCTTGATTTAACCATATGGTTTAACGATTCTCTTTTTCAATAGATAAATCGGTGAATTTGCAAAGAAGGAATTGTACAAAATCATTCACAGTGCATAAAAAGTTATGCATTGTAACAAAAGGGCAAAACTGAATGATAACTTATTGCAATAGCACAGCACATACTGTAACGTTTAAGCGCTTTAAGAACGAAACCTTGATCAGCAAGGATAGAAATGAACAAGGCTGTTACGAAAGTTTTGTGAACCAAGGTTACTTTCAGAGTGAATCTGGTTCGCGTATCTGAAATAACGTCCAGGGAAATTTGCTCTAGAAAGGAAGTAAGAAGATTTCCTTTATGCCTTCTATTTGAAAATAACAAAAGAAAACAAACAACAACTTCAAACGGATTAGTAAATTGGTATTGCAGCTTGGTAGAAAATCAAGCATTACCCTTCACTAAAGAGTGCAGCAAGCAAATAATGACTTACCTAGAACAATGGGGAACTCTGTTATTTACATCTTCAGCTTTTTGGTAGATTTTGTAACTAGTCTTGCTTGCTGCATTTTCGGTTTTTAGACCAATTATCAATCTAATCTTTAGTCAGGATGCCATTATGTTGTTATCAGTTCATTTGTGTAATTTGTTATCAACATAACATAGCATAACATAGCATAACATAGCATAACATAGCATAATATAGCATAACATAGCATAACATAGCATAACATAGCATAACATAACATAACATAACATAACATAACATAACATAACATAACATAACATAACATAACATAACATAGCATAGCATAGCATAGCATAGCATAGCATAACATAACATAGCATAACATAGCATAACATAGCATAACATAGCATAACATAGCATAAAATAGCATAACATAGCAGAACATAGCATAACATAGCATAACATAACATAACATAGCAGAACATAGCATAACATAGCATAACATAACATAACATAGCAGAACATAGCATAACATAGCATAACATAGCATAACATAACATAACATAACATAACATAACATAACATAACATAACATAACATAACATAACATAACATAACATAACATAACATAACATAACATAACATGGGGTCTGGAGCACTGGCTTTTTTATCTAATTTGGCAAAGAGTTCTAAAGTTTAACACCATCAAATGTAAGAAAGTTTCTTTTGAAGCTAGTAGATAGACTTGGAAGAGAGAAACCAGATTATCTTGTGTTATGCCCTTGTAGCGTATTTGATCTAAAGAATTAATTTTGGAGAGACATCATCATTTTCCAGATTAACTTGCAACAAAAATTTTGCTGTTTCTAGTTTGTGACGATTATCAAAATTTAGGAAGTTGAAGAGTTTGAAGATTGGACCAGGGTGTGCACTGTTTTTGGCAAAGCCTACAACTTTGCCCAAGTTTCGTCTTAATGATTTTAGTAGAGTTTTATTGGCAGTGGCCCAATCCGTACCCGATTGTCGAAGAAAGGGGCCCGGTGCAATTTTCGTGTTAAAATTCCTAAGAGGGCAAGGAATTTTCGCTCTAGATTCCAAAGAGGGCAACGAGGAAAAAGCGTCAAGAAAAACGGTGAAACAAAATAAAACGAGGAAAAATGCTCAATTTGCAAGGGCAAGGAAGGCAACTACCCCCCGCTGCCCCCACTGCCCCCTGACGCAGGCCGGCGCATGCGTCCTTGTTTTGAAGTCTTATCCGAAAATTAATGTTCCCAATGAAAAAATCCAGGAAACATCAATTCTCGGTATGCAAGAATTCCATATTGTTTACTTTCGTGTTTACTTTAAGATGCATTTTTTAGAGTGATATTATATCCGAGGTGCTGAACCCTAAAAAGGTTTTAAAGCCAAAATATTCCAAAAAACATAAATTCCCAGCAAGTTTTGTTATCAAAATCATAAAAATCATTTAATGTTTGCCTCCGTCCGAAGCCCTGTCTACTACCGAAAAATCGATACTTTTAATTGAAAATTTTTCGAGAAATATAAATAGCTAGAAGCTAAATTTCTTGCAGCCATTGATTGCGGCCAGACGGGGTTTAAACCGCACTTTCCTCGACATTTTCATCAGAGTCGTGAAATTCTTCGACTTCCATTAAAACGCAAAACGAAAAAAAAATGCAAATCAATTCCTATTTTGAAATTTAATGTGTTGTTTTCAATTAAATTTCTCATAAATTATGGTTCATTAGTTTTTCCTTTGACTACGATCGATTTAGATTCGAACCTTCAAATGTTGGTTGGGTATATATACGGGTTACAGTTATGGTAAATGTATACAATGTTTCCATAGGACGATTATAATAGACACAGGAATCTTTCTCGAACTTGTTCAAGTTATTCCACCTCGTAGGCAACGGCGCCGTGGCTTAGCGGTTAAAGCGCCTGTCTAGTAAACAGGAGATCCCCGGTTCAAATCCGGGCGGTGCCTATCTTTTTCCAACGCAGTTAAAACTTTTTTTTCAGCTGATATTGTCAATTGTCATTAAAATTGGTGTAGGTGTTTCTGAAGAGTCAGGCCATTTTGATTTTTAACTAAGCTTTTTGGATATATTGCAAGTGAAAAAAGCAATCACATAAGCCCAAAAATGGACGTATTGTAGGAAATATTAAAAAAACCATTGTGGTAAATTGTTAGAGCAAGAGGAACAGGATTAAGAGGCATATAAACAATGTTAGTGCCATGGCAAAATTTTTGAAATAGAGAATTAAAATCAAAAGAGGGAAAACCGAAAGAAACGAATCAGGGTAAAGTTAAAATTTATAGGAGGGAGAGAAGGTGAGCAAAATAAATTGAGTTTTTGACTGATTTTCTCAGCCTTAATATAAGTTGATGACATCAGTGATGCGAGGAGCAGATAGGTGAAAAAGTGCCTGTACTATCACTGATTTATTAATTGGAATGCTGGTCAAATAAAAGAAAGACTGGGACCATATGGGACAAATACCTGCTAGAGTCAACTCGGTGGCATACTAAAAGAAAATGAAATATGGTCCAAATAAAATGAAAAGTAGAGTAAAATATCAGAAAATAAGCCTTTATGATCAGCTGAAATACTCAGATAATCAACGGACTTCAAAGCAAGAAGCATTCGATAAATTGAAGGAAAGAAAGAAAATGCTAGTACGAAAAGGCGAGGCAAATCACAGAAAAACGAAAAAAGATAAACAAACTCAGTATGAAGGAACACAAGGGGTTATATTGCATTGCAAATTAAGGGGTTATATTGCATTGCAAGAGAGCAGTAGCGTAGCGAGGGGGTGGCTCTTTCAGAAAGGATGTTTTCTGGCGTTCCAAAGGGTGTGGATCTACATTTTTCTCTTCCTCAACTAGCCTTTGCCAATCTCAATCTTACCCAATCTTACTCAATCTTACGCTATTGCAAGAGAGGTGAGATGACAAAGTATTAGATGGGAGAGGTGAAATAACAATAGGCAGGGGTAAATCAGGGATTTTGGCAGTAAAGACGGTTCAGAGTTGATCAAGTTGGATTGTCATCGGAAAGGATAAAAGGAAAAAAGGATAAAAGAAAAAGGATAATAAAGGAAAGGATAGAACATTCACAGGATGTTTGTGGCAATAAAAAAGTACAGAAAATTAATATATAAAAGGCGGTGAAGGTTTTTTGATAAAATTTTGAAAGCTCTTTGCAGATTTTAAGCTACAAAGCTGAGAAACTGATGCCGCAAGTTATTTTGAATCATTTCTTACATCCACCACCTTTTCTTAAAGTCTCTAAAGATCTGACTGACTCAGCTATAAGAGAAATCACGCGACACTTGAGAGCTGACAAATGTAATTAAATTCCAAAATGTGTATAAAATTCCAATTTGATAACGATTATCTAGGCCTAATTATTCTAGAAAACACGTACTAAAACATTGAAGAACTAAATGAAACTGAAGATACAAACTACAGGGGCTTTTCTCGTTCAACAGATTCATTTACAGTTGTTCATGATTCCACGAGATTATTACCCTGATAAATATCATTCCTTTTTTGAAAATGAATTGGGATCTGATTGCGAATCGCGTCAACATAATCAGCATCTAAAATGAAAAATAAAACAATTTTCGCATTAATGTGAAGGTTTGAAAACGGAAAATGTATTTCCATAAACAGTATTGTACTTTATTTACTTTTCTCTTCTTTGTAATTTCTTTATTATTCTCTTCTTTTTTCATTCATTCATTTATTCATTCATTCATTCATTCATTCATTCATTCATTCATTCATTCATTCATTCATTCATTTATTCATTCATTCATTCATTCATTCATTCATTCATTCATTCATTCATTCATTCATTCATTCGTGTTTTCCTCTTTCAAAAGTGCACAGTGTTAGTTTGCATACTGCTGAACAATGAAACTATTCATCTTTTACGATGCGAAATCAACATTAAACTTTCTTCCTAATCCTCCCCCTTTCCCTTGTTAGGTCTTAGCTATAGGCACTTAAGCCTTTCCATAAAATCACCGACTAAAAAAATGCATCCACTCTTAAACAGGATGGCTCTGAATTGCCAATTAATATTTTCAGCTCAGTGCCATAATCACACAACTGTTGATAGCAATGTACAAAACTTTCCATACCAATTTCTGCATAGACAATACCCTCTTTCTCAGCCGTTGAGGCTATAACCTTTCCCCTGAAATAAAAGTTACAGCGTCAGTTACAAACATCTTAATATCTAATTCACTTTCTCTTTCAGAAGCAGGGACTCAGACACAAAGGCAACTAGACTCTTTAGCTTGTGTTCACACTTATGACACCAGCACACTTAAAAATTAATTGTAAAAAGGAAGCATCTAAACAGAAAACCAAACAACATTTATGCAGAATCTCGCAAATAAAATCATTCGCTGTAAAAGACCTTGATTAACTGTTTCCATAACTACACAGTTGATAATTTCTGTTTTACCGGGTCGTTATCCTTTTTAGATATTGCTCCAGACTCACAATAGGGGGATTCTACGAGTTGCTCAACCAGAATCGTTCTTCAGGAAGATGGTGCTATCTAGAGCCCAGTAGACTGTTCATTCTTGTTCCAACTATTGAGTCATAACTTTACAAAGTTACTTGAAAATATTTAAAAAAAAGATTCTGCTGCGTTTTGATTTCATCCTTACACTCAATATGCGAAATTGCTATATGCTGATGGCTCAAGTTCAGTACTACAGATACAGGATAAGAAAGACAACGATTTATTGTTTAGGCTCCAATTCTAATTCCAATAGAGGACTGTATATCTTCTCAACTCTCATTCAATTCAAATCTAATTTCTATCGCATATTTAATGTGTACATAAAGTGACTAAAACAACAAGAACTATTGAGGAGTACGTCATACCATGCAATTTCTTACAGCCAACATTTTTCCACGTCTCTGGTACAATGTCCAAGAATTTTCAGTCCATTAACGAGGCTGTCTAGTCCATTAACGAGGCTGCCTATTATATTGGGTGTATACATTTGAGAGGACCACGAGTGATATGCCCCAAACCTTATGAAAGAGGTTTAAATTTCAATGTTACTTACCAGGGATCAACGACTGTGCTGTGTCCCCAAGTAACGTATGTGGCATTTTCGTCTCTAGCAGGGCCGCAACCAGCAACATAGAGCTGCAAAAAATAACAGCAGTGTTGCAAGGTATCTAAACACAGTGGGGAGACAACATTCTCGGTATACTCCATAGATCCCCATGTGTTTCAAAGACAGATCCGTATATCAAGGAACCAGCTCTAAAACATTTTAATTCGGCGACAACAGACGAACAGTTCTGAATGCAAGAAGTGTGATCACCAGGCAACTGTTCGTATCAAAATCGAATAATGAAACAATTACCTGACGATAGCATTAAGCGTGAAACTCGGAGTATAATCATAGAACCGTTCTGTTCTATACACAAAAAGTGTGTACAGATCTGCCTATACAGCAATGAGCACTTTATGACAGGCCGGTAAACATTAAGCTTCATTCGACGCTATCTAAAGTTGCTAAAGCTTATCGAAACCTAAATCCGCCAGTTTATGCACAAACAGCTAGAAATGCAACGAAATCGAAGCAAATTTGAAATCATTCCACAATAAAACTATACAAAATCAAAGAGTCATACCTGATTATCCAAAGCCCTGAAAAGAAAATTTTTAGCCATAAAAAAAGCAATGGATTGGCTGAATTTCATAAATGTAGGCTGGGATTGACATTTTTGCAGGACATATAAGAAAAAATATAAATCATGATACACACGACTTATTATAACGACAATTTAAATCTTAAATGTACTTTGCAACATTTTTTACTCGTTAAAAATGAAAGTGAACCAAGCCTTCGAAAAATATTTTAAAAATAGTTGCAAAGTCACAGCCCAATCAAACACAAAAACGTTTTGATAAAACCACTAAAATTTTATTCATCAAAATATCATTGATAATGAAAGAGAAGCGTGCTAAAAGTGGATGGCTAAATCTCCAACAGCTTGAAAACAATTATCATTTGGGCACATGATTTTGCGGCAATGTTACAAGAAGCTTGGTACAAACATACCTGGCAGTTAAAAGAGAGAGCCAATGTGCAGGTCCGGTGATCATGTTGAAAGCACCAGGGTATATCAACAGATTGCAACCTAGGGTTGATTTATTTAAAATGATTTATAAAGAAAGGATGAAGTCACAATTTGAAACTTTTGACATTGATCACTGCAAGACATACCACCAACAACAAACAAGAAACAAGACTTTTCTAAAAAAAGCAACACAAAAGTCAACTCTAATAGCTCAATTTTTCATAGTATAAAAACGAGAAACAAAATAAATAGGCAGATCTTTTTTTCGGCAATACAGCTTGAAACTTTGATGTTTCTGACTGCGCTAAACGTATTTGAAATGACTCTCATTTCAACACACAACTGGCAAGTTTTTCAAATCCTAAAGGGTCCAGCAAGAATAGCACAAGAAGATTGCTAACAATGGCCTAATTCAAGCAAAACATATTTAAGTACCCTGCAGAACCAGAGACTGCAGATTAGCGTGTCGATAAAAATATTCAAAAAAATTAGCGTTTCATGATTATCGAACTTCGAAGGCAGCTGGAAAAATGCAAAGGCTACATATCATGTACAAGTTACCTTGCTTGTCATACAAATGGGCAAGCTCCGGAAATCTCAGATCATAGCATATACCAAGGCCAACCTTTAAGGGTCCTAAAAGACACAAAAACAAAACGAATCCGATTCCTGTTGAGATTTACTAGACAAGTGCAGGCTATTCAAAAGTTTCATATAAATGTGCCACAGTACTTTTTGATAGAAAGGAAGATAGAAAATAAATAGCTTGTAAAAATAGAAATGGGATCTTTACCAGCTTGAAATGTAAACAGATTATTCCCGGGTGAAAGAACTGAGGATTCGGTGAAAACTAGTTTTCCAGGTACATTTACATCAGAGAGATGTATCTAAAAACAAGCAATAAGTTGAATAAAAATGAAGCAAGAGAAAAAACAAGAAAGTAATGCCTTGCATTTAATAACAAATTATTAGGTATAAATGCTAGACTTGAAGAAATAGCTTCCTACTTTATACAACACAGCGTTTAACAAATTTGAATACATCAAAAATTATTTTTAAAGTATCTAAATATTAATTTCAAGAAAAATTACAATGGCTGTTGATTCATGAAGTCAATTGGCGACGAGGATTTTAAATCAAGAAATATCTCTATCCTGAAGCATGGCAAGTAAAAATGTTAAATGAACTCCTTGAGCTGCAGCAAGAGCAATTTCGACAACAACATGAGCAAAACCTCCAACAACAATCGTTATATCGGCAAGAGCTGCATGCAATGATGAAAGTCATTGAAAGATTTAGACAGCAACCAGCAACCAGCAACCAGTAGTGACTCAGCAACCAACATCATCACGGAAATCCCGAAATTTCAGCAGCACATCAGAGTTATGGACTGACTACTGGAAACGTTTTCAGACATTTTTTGGTGCAAACTCCGTCCAAGAATCAAACAAAGCACTGATTTTGATCCATGGGTGGTCGCATTTCCAAGAAGCGACAAAGGCAAACACCACATAAGTCTACAACTGTTAGAACCATAAAACCAGACAACTTAAGTGCTTCCAACAAAGACTGCCGACAAGAGCGTAAGTCAAATTTCGGATGGAAATTCGAGCTCATCTCAACAGCCAGGAAATCATTATAGAGATTGACACTGGAACACCGGACAACTTTATCTCTAAATCTACATGGAAACACCTAGAACAAAAAAAGCTGTTTCCCAACAATATGCGCTACGAATCTGAAACAAGAGATGCTCTTCAACTTATACCTTAATACACCTGTTAACGACTCAGTGCACAGTCTACCTTTCAACAACCTTATCGGGCTATGCTCGATTAGAAAACTTGGACTCTCACTGGACGCTATTCATAGGGATCTTACTACCGACATCCATCATGGTATTGTCATTTGAACCAGCTAAGGCCCAGATATAGAAGATCAACAGGCTCACATTTGCTTAAAAAATCATGCATATTGAGTCAGAGCAGCAAAAAAGGTGCTTAGTAGCAGTTAGTACAGCCTAAAAAAGTAGTGTGAGGATAAAAAAGATTATATTCAATATGTATCATTACCTTACTGTATGTACCAATTAGTGTGCCATCAGGTCCAAATACTGTTGTTGTATTGTAAATCTTTTCACCACGTGTTTCAGGTATTGAGCCGCCAATGATATAAACTTTTAAGTCTTTTGCAATTTTTGATAAAGTATTGGATGTCTCCCCAGGAATTGGCTCGGCATAGTCAGCAAAATATTGAGTACCATATGGGCAATTGAAGCATTCCTTCAATCAGATTGCATGACATCATAGTACTTTTAATAATATAGCTGTCAGCTTAATTATCAGGTGCATAATCCAAGTATAAAATCTTCTACAATTATAAATAAGGAGTGGCCAACATTGTACGCTGAAACAAATTTGGCAATTATAGCAAACTATGAGCCAACCCAGATTGTTCCCAGAGAATGGAAGAAACCAGCCACAATTTAATTATGTTTGCTGGAGGGAACTGTTGATAATGTTAGTATAGAAAGTAAAAATTCTAAAACGAAACAGAGCAGACATTTGCTTTGGATTTTGGCATTTGCATATATAATTTGCAATTGCATTTTTTGATTGCTTGATCATTGATCACTTTGATCGTTGATCACTTTGATCGTTGATCACTTTGATTGATCATATGTCATGTGAAGACTATCTTTTGATATTTGAGAGTAATTATAGCAGGCATTGTAGAATTGTAGGAATATTTTCACCTGGCATGGGAAAGCACGAGGTCATAAAAAATATATCAATTTATAAAAGAATATTCAACAATCGATCTACCAGCAGGGCGTGGTTAGCAAGGGTGTGGGGGTGTCACACCCCCAACATTCAGAAAATTACATTGGTAGAATTACATTTATAACAATATAATTTTATGCCAAATGTAACAAAAGAAATTCTGTTGGTAAATTATGGATTTGTATCTCTTACACCCCTTCCCCCTGCAAGAAAGGTCACTGCAAGTGGGTAAAAAAAACACTTAACTGTCTACTAGTGCTTTTTTACCCACTTGACAAGTAGCCAACATGTACCAATTACACTTGGACTTTGAATGTTGCTCCATATTGCAAAACCTAGAACGGCTGACTGAAATAGGCATTTTGTCACCTGGAAAAACAAAGCAGCTGTAAAATCAGCAGCTACATAAATAAAATCACAACTCACCGGTAAAGAAATTAGTTTTGCACCATTATCTGCAGCTTGTTTAATCAACAAGAGGGCAGTCTTAAGATCCTCTACTTTGTTTCCAGTCACCTTCAACTGCACAAGAGCAAGAAGCATGTCTGCCAAAAGGAAGTTTCATTCAAATCAAAGAGATTTCATGATGATAATTTGTACTGTATTATCTAGATACAGCAGTAATCAAAAGACAGCAGTTTCCTGAATCAGGGCCTCAGACGAAGGAGGGGGCCAGGGGGCCATGGCCCTCCCACTTTTTTGCAAAACAATAGAGCCTTTTTGAAATCTTTTGTTATGGGTGTTAAATTTTCCCTTGCCCCCTCCCACTTTCCAACCTTTGTTGGAAACCATGCTGACTTGTTGAACATACATAATTTGTGAAAGCAGTCAAATCAAGAGGCAGTACCAGCTGCTGAGAAGCAAAGAGGACTAAAGGTCTAGAAGTGAGGCTCCTTGTAAAGATTAAAGGAAATGCTCTCTCTTTAAAATCTCTCATTTCCGTCAAACAATACCAGCATGTTGTCTACAAAGTTTGGTTAAAGTGAAATTGCAACATTGTAAACCGGAAGATATTGACCACCCTGTTAATCATTCTGAATACTTGGCTACTCCTGCCATGTGGAAATACCATGAAAATTGATTATCTACCAGAGTGGTAGAGAGGGGAAGGGGGTACTTGTTCCTGTGTTCCCGTTGAAAAATAAAAAAATGTTCCGTTGCTCCCTTAAACTAGTAATGATGTTCCAATGTTCCCAATGGAAAGTTGTTTCCATGTTCTTGTATTTTGTGCCATGTTCCCTTATTCCCAAAAACCCCTGAGAGACCCTAAAAATTGGTTTTCAGGGACATTTATATATTTGGTAAACAAAACCCCTGGAAATAGAAACCATTATGACCTAACAGGGGTCCAGTCAGGGTCAAAGAAGGCAAAGCTTAAGTGTTATAAATTACCCTAAAAAGGTAGTCTTTTTGACAATAACCCTCAAATTGTAACATAAGAAACAAAATCATGCTCTTAGTAGTAGTAGGTCCTACTTTGACAAATTTCTTCACCATTGACTGTTGTTGTTTCGGGAAAGATAGGTCTTGTTAACTTTCAAAAATAAAAGATAAGATTATGTTAAGTGGTAGTGTTATTATCGAAACTGGGCCATTTGGAAAGAACCTCAAATCGACTGGACCCCCTGTCAGGCCTTGATGGGAGTACCAGCCCCTGGGTAGATACCTTATAACCTTATATAAAACCAGGGGTGGATCTAGAGCAAACTTGAAGGAGGGGCAGTTGGTAGTGGGGGCGCTGAAAAATGTTCAAAAATTGATGACAAGATTACACTGTATACAATAATTTCAGATCCATTTTTAGAATAAACAACATAACTTTGAGGTAACCCTTGAAGCAAATTAACCTATCAGTCTCAGAAACTTTTTCACCTGATTCTCATTCTTCAAAGGAGGCGCAAAATTTCCAAACAGGGCACCAGACTTGCTTCAACTCGTCAAGGGAGGGGCAACCCCCAAGAACCCCCTTAAATCCACCACTGTATCAAACATTTAAAAACTTCCCTAAAGCACTTTCCCTATGCCAGGTTGATGTCATTGATTTTGTATCTTGCTATCTATGTATCTTTCTAAAAAATGGACTTCAGAATTGAAATCTTTATCTTTAAATTAGTTTATGCAGAAAATTCATGTTGCTTGGACCGTTCGGTCGCGAGTTACTTTGTTTAGAATATTTGCATATTTCTTCAGATTTGACCGGAATTTGCTGCTGCAGTGAAAAAATTTCACTACAGAAACAAATTCCATTGAAATGTATAGGAAAAGCTAAATCTTAAAAATGGGTTAATTCGCTGCCTGACGGGCCAAACAACCTGAAATTTTCAACACAGACTAACTTCAACATGAAGATTCCAATTCTATGATCCATTTTTGCCAAATGTGAAGATAAAAATTTCCCGGATCAGAGAATAGACGATTGTGGGCGCGGTGCCCGGTGGGAAGTGCGGCCCTGCCTCATAAGTAGAGGGGGGCATGGATGCAGTGGCAGAGGGCCCAGGGGGTACATCCGCCTTGTTAATATATCTCGGATCATTACTGAGTACCCTGATTATCTATCGCTGCTATGTAAATGTAATGATGGAGACACCACAAGGATTAATTATGCGGGAGGTTCACAAATTCATACACTACAACTCATACATGCTTTTCTCTTACCTCTTTTCCTGAATTAGAGTTCTTTATCGAATGGAATTGATGCGGACCTGGAAAATGAATCGTACCCGATGTTCGTAAGACGAAACCTTTAGCCTTTAGTCCCTTGTTTCGAAACAATACCGTGTCGCAGGGTCATGGGTCATGCGCATTAATAACAGTATTCGCTCAGTTGTTGTTCTGTCTGTGGCCACGATTTCTAAGGCTTCAAGTGATAATTCCGCATGTGCCTAACCCCGAAACGGGTTATTTTCCAGGATGATGATCCTTACACAGGTTTTCAATATGACTACATTAAGTGTAGAGTTTTTAATTTTTTCGTCATAGAGTTTTCAATTTCAAAAATTTACAAAAAATGCAAAGAAATGCATTGGATAATTCCCCCTTTTTTTTCTATTACCGTAAATGATATGGTATGGCATTAAAAACATGATGCAAAGATACATTTCAGTCACCGATGCATATTATTTCTGGTTTTTGTTTTCCAAGACAATTTTCTTATGGTTCGGATTCATGGCCTTCATGTCAAATTTTAGGACATCGTTCTGATCATCCATTTCTTCATCATACTTTCGGATTCTTAAATATCGCTGTCAACTATAAATAGTTGGATACTTTCATTGGCAATCAAACCAAAACAAATTCAGTCCTCCATGAGGAATTTGCGATATGCGTATTTTCTTTATCGAGGACGTTCCATATCTCTCAAGAAAGAAAGAATAGGCCCTTGAAACTGTCTTTCTGGTTGCTTCTTATTTCGTGGAGGTGTGCAAGGACTATGGTGCAGCCAAAGTTTTGCGTAGCCAGTTTCCCACATTTTTTGGCTATATCTTGGTATCATACAAAAAATTTTTGCCTGAAATTCTCGAAAATGTGTTTTTGTCCAAAAGTTTTCGATTTTAATGTAGCTTCAGTGGTTCCAGTTGACAGCGCTAAAAATAGTTTTTTTAGCATCCAGCCCAAGCTGTACTTGTAACGAAGACAACAAACTTTTTTGTATCATCATATTTGCTTGTGATAGTGATAAGCCAATACAAAATTTATTATATTTTGACTGAACGTCATAAAACGTCAAAGAGGCTGCTGTATTACTCTACAACAAGTTCTTCTTATTAAAGAAATCATTATTAGTTGATTGATTATCAATTTTAATGTTACATTTGTGGCAAAAGAACATTTATTGTAAACAGCTTTGAGAAGAAAATCAAAACAATTAGATACAGCTCACATCCCTGTAAACAGAATGTCTGTAATATCCAACTCGCTTTCATAATTTCTTCTGAGAGATCATTCCTGGTGACATTATTGTGCTTCTACTCATGATTATTAACCATAAGAAACCATTCAGAATTAGAGGAAAAAAAGGTGAAGGGATGAATGAATAAGCCACTCGGCAGTCCAGAAAAAAATACGGCAGAAGATTGGCAAAAATCGGACTTAGGTGAAAGTGGCAAATTATCAGAGTCCGATGAGCATATCTTAGAGACATACCTACATACAGTATAAGCGCCATGGCAAAATGTTTGAAAAACAGACTTAAATTCAAAGGCGAGAAAAGCGAAAAAAAGAGAGGGCGGGCAAAATACCATTGGTATTAGACTGATTTACACAGCCTTAATATGTGTTCATGACATCAGCAATGCAGAGAGCAGATATGTGAAAAGACAATTGTGCTATCACTGATTTATGAATTGGAATGCTGGTTGAATAAAAGAAAAAGACTGAGGAAAAAGACTATGAGACAAATTCAAGGGAATGTTTCAATCATTTCTACACCTGCTAGAATCAACACAGTAGAATACTAAAAGAAAAAGATTTTATGCTTTGTTTAAATTAGATAAAATTGAGGGAAAGAAAGAAAATGCTAGTACGAAAAGGAAAGACAAATCACAGAAAAACGAAAAAGAATTAACAAACTCAGTGTGAAGGTAATATAAAGTAGGTGATGGAAAGAGGTATAAGAAATACTGCATTGCACCCGAGGTGAAATAACATTAAATAGGAAAAGTTAAATGAGAAAACTAAATCATCTGGGGTAAATCAGAGATTTAGGCAGCAATGCGTTGCTCGAATGGGATGGAGAATATCGACATAAATAGAGGAAAGGAAAAGTACAGTTCAGTAATAAAAATGTGGCAACAAAAATGTACAGAAAGTTAACATGAAATGCGGTGAATTTTTATCAAATTTTTAGGTTCAAGCCAA